AGAGAGAAAGTGTTTAGGCGGATGCAGAGCCCCAAGGAGTGGCCAACTACCAACTTCATTTCATATGTGTGTCCTTTTGACTATGTGAAATCAAACAAACAGTGGAAGATCTTTGGATGCCGGAAATTGCCTTTTTAGATTAGATTAGAATAGAATATAATTTAGGGTCCCTCATACTCCAAGTCCACAATTTTTGCATAAATAATTCGAATGTATTTTTTTTTTTTTTACCAGGTAGATGGTTATGAAGTTAGTAGAGTTAGTTTGTTAGTAACTGGAATTTTTTCAAGAAAGTGAACATTCCACCCTTTCATTTGAGGGGCGCGACCATTAGGAGGAGGGAGGATACGAAGGATTTCTTAGGATGATGTGGACACACGTGGCGATAAATGAATGGTAAATTGGAGATGAGTCGTCCTGCAGTCCCATTTTATAAAATTAGGATAGGAGTTGGGACTAATTGTCCCCCTCCGCACTCCCCCCCACCCCAGCTGCACTCCGACATCTTGAGAACAACATTTTGACTATCTCCTGCCGACCAACCAATCTCCCACTGCCACTTGTCAACTGAGAAACATACTTACTTTCCATGGCCATCCTACTTATCCCGCTTATTAAATTTATTAATGTGGTTATTAAAAATGGTTAAATTTGTATTTTAATTTAATTTTTTAAAATAATTAATAAAATAATTAGTATTTAGTATTTAATACATTAAAATTACTTTATAAATATATAATTTTAAATATTATAAATAATTATGTTTAAAAAATTATAAATTAATAATATTATAATTAAATTAATTCCTTTAACAAATTTATTGGTTACAATCAACTAAGCCGGCTTAGTAGACTTGCACTACTGTTTTGTTTTTGTTTCACAATTAGGATAGATTCCTCATTCTGCCTCCATTTTCTTTTTTTCAATTTTACAATTATATTTTAAAACTCTACTACTATAGTCCTTAATTCCTGCATTTTTAATTTATTGTTATTTTTTTAATATTAATTTTATTTATTTCTACAATAATTTTGTTTAGTTAAAATTTAAAGCATATATTTACGAATTAGAGAGAGAGAGAGAGAGAGAGAGTAAAAAAAATAGAACTCTAAAAAAACTTGGCCTGATGATGATATGCAAAGTTGAAACTTGAAACAAATTAAGAGTGTTATATGATATATATAGAAAATAGTGTCTTTTAAACTTATTTTTTAAAAATTAGGAGGAAATCATCTCAAAATTATATCGTTTCAATAAATTTTTATTGAAAAAAATTAAATTATTTTATTTTTAAAATATGCATTAAGCTAATTTTATTTTTATTAATTTTTTAAAAGTAAAACGAATAAACACTAATCCTATATATATATATATGAGAGAGAGAGAGAGCATATTATAATGTATGTATGTGCTTTTTCATGACAATTTACAAAGAAGAGGATAATGGAGATTAAGCGAATGAGAGATTAAACTTGAATTTTGGATGTTCCATTGATTTGGTGTTAAAATAAATTATATCCGACAAACTTTTGCTGAATTGGTTGGCTTGTCTTTGTTTTTACCCACACAAACACCAAGCACTTGATAATACTTACAGTGTCCTGCACTAAAATCATCATTCCCATTCCCATTCCCATTCCCATCCAATTTCTTTCGCCAACTTAAATGCACTACACTGCACCCACACTCACCCCTCTCCCCCCTCTTTGATCGGTAGCCCATGTATTAAGGACAAAATTGCGGAGAAATTAAACGTCATTTATTAGTTGTTACTATGCCTATAATAAAAAATTTTAAAAATAAAAAAATTGCTTCAAAGTTTTCGTTTATTTGTGGAAAGAATATAAAAAAACAAGAAGTGAAATTTTTATCTGTAAAGGGCAGACAGCCGTTTTCAGAGTCATTCTATTTCAAAGATTTTTTTTTTTTTTGTCGTTTTCGGAATATATAAAATATATTAAGAGAGTACATGATAAAAGAGCAATTTGGAAGTATGTTGGTAAAGTAATAATGTGGTTGAAAATTGTCAGTGAAGTATTTAATTGTAATTGTGATTATATTGAATTTTTATTATATTGTAATTATAATTGAAAGTTATTTTATTATTTATTTTTAAAAAGTATTATAAATAAAATATAATAAATTTTATTAATTTTTAATTTTTTATGAAATTTTTAAGTAAATAAAAAGTTAAGTCTAAGTAAAATATTATAAATTATAATATAACTTAATTAAATGAAATTAAATTTTAATGGATAATTTTATTATTGTATTAAATATTAAATATTATTTGTAAATATTATAGTTAAAAAAATTTGAAGTGAAATTTTTAATTTTATATATAAATTGTAATGGATTTATTGTAATTTTTTTGTAACTTCAAAAAAAATATATATATTAAACATATATTATACGATTAAAAAAAACCCTCAAATCATAATCCTAAACGTACCTCAGAACTTATGAAGAATAATAAATTAATTAATGGAAGAAGATATGTGATGGTGGACCACCAACACCATAGACTGCAATGCAACCAATAGCAAATTGTAGTATTAGTCTTTCACCCAAAAAAAAAAAAAAAGTTGGTTTGAATTAAAAGAATTTAATTTTTTTAAGTAAAGTTTTGAATTTAAATTTTATAAATAAACAAATAAATATTAAAAAAATTTAATAAAATCTGATTTATTTAATTTTAAATTAATTAAAATTTAATATGATTATCATATATCGATAAGTTAATAAAAAATAAAGAAAACAGAAGCAAAGTCAAGCCACAGCCTGAGTCCACTGCACTCCACGCTACACGCTCCTCTCTCTCTCTCTCAACAGTTAAACTAAAAGCATGTTGCATGTGAGTGCAAGTGCCATCCACATGCTCAAGCTGCGTGTGGGGCTTAACGTTATGTCACAGCACAGAAATCCCTTTGTTTTTTTATGGTAATTACAGCACAGAAATCCTAAAGAGGATTCTTTCTGGCCTCTTAAACACCCTTCGGCCTTCGCTGGCCAGTGGCCTGTGGCGTGGGGGCTTTATAAATCCAGGACAATTCCTCTCCTCTCCTACTCCTACCCCTACTCCTCTCACATTATCACAGAAAACCAATGATAATACAGCAACAACAACAAATTACTAATTCTCTCTCTCTTTCTCTTGCTACTATATAGTATATATATAGATACCTCAATCTCTTCTCTAGCTTGTCCTTTCAATTTCAACAAGACGAGAAATGGAGGGAACAAGACAGAATACCAAAGCAGAAAGCACGTGGCAGGTGATGACTTCTGCACAAGAGAAAGATACCGCTACTGTTGATTGGAGAGGCAGAGCTTCTAATCCCAACAAGCATGGGGGCATGAGAGCTGCTCTGTTTGTTCTAGGTACGCAATAACACTCTTCTCATATACGTTTCCTCCCTAATTAATTTCCCAGATATTTTCTTGATATTTCTTGAACCGTCTGAACTGTGTTGCGTTAATAGTATAGTCATAACTAGCGATACGTACGCAGGCAGTAAAATTTTTTGACTTATTATTATTATTCATCCATCAGGGCTTCAAGCATTTGAGATAATGGCCATTGCTGCAGTAGGAAACAACCTCATAACGTATGTCATAAATGAGATGCACTACTCCTTGTCAAAGTCAGCAAATATAGTCACTAACTTTGTTGGGACTATCTTCCTTTTGGCCCTTTTCGGTGGCTACCTTTCCGACTCTTTTCTTGGGAGTTTCTGGACCATGCTTATCTTTGGCTTTATCGAGCTTTCGGTATGTATTTGTATTGTATCCCCTTTATTTTCCGTGAAATATATAATGCTACACTTGTTACATACATACATA